TCTCCATGGCCTCTTTGGCCTGCATTAGCATTGACAGATACATCGCCATCACAAAGCCACTGACCTACAACACGCTGGTTACCCCATGGAGACTTCGGATCTGCATCCTGATCATCTGGCTGTACTCCTGCCTCGTCTTCTTACCCTCCTTTCACTGGGGAAAGCCTGGATATCACGGGGATGTGTTTCAGTGGTGTGCCAATTCCTGGAACACCGATCCCTATTTTACCCTCTTCATTGTGGTGATGCTCTATGCCCCGGCTGCTTTCATCGTCTGCTTCACTTACTTCAACATCTTCCGCATCTGCCAGCAGCACACCAAGGAGATCAACGAGAGGCGAGTGCGCTTCAGCTCGCAGGATGGGGAGGCTGGGGAGGCACAGCCCTGCCCAGACAAGCGCTATGCCATGGTTCTTTTCCGCATCACCAGTGTCTTCTACATCCTCTGGTTGCCCTACATAATCTATTTTCTGCTGGAGAGCTCCGATGTCTATAGTAACCGCGTTGCGTCCTTCTTGACCACTTGGCTTGCCATTAGCAACAGTTTCTGCAACTGTGTCATTTACAGTCTCTCCAACAGTGTCTTTCAGAAGGGGCTTAAGCGTCTCTCAGGGGCTATTTGTGCCTCTTGCGCTAGACAGAGGGTAGCTAAGGACTCCTCTACCTCCAGGAGCAAAAGATCTTCCAATGGATGTCATGTCTGAGACGCCTGTCAGCTGGACTGGGAAGTGCAGGGACAATGCTGTGAATTGCAAAAATAAGTTAAATACGATTTTAAGATGTCCAGATTTGCAAAAAGGTTTCTGAGAAATGCTGCTGACATAGAAGAATCAGGAGCACATATCATTGTGGTTTCACTTTAAAAAAATCATTGCTGTGGAGGAGGCTGTGGAGTTTCACCTCCATATTAATTTTTAAGAATAAAGCTGTATCTTGACACTTACCTCTCCAGCTGGTGTGACTGAATGGAGTGGGTGTCTGAGAGCTTCGGCAAAATGTAGTCTTTCTTACAGCTTTACGAGGTTCTTTCGAGATTCGTGCTTCACATGTAAATGGTAGATCTGAAGTGGAAATGTCACAGTATATGGTATATTACAGGGATTTTTTAAATATATGCCAAAGTATATTGACACAGTGTTCCAGCACCGTAACAAAAGGGGCCAAACAATTTGTTTTTCAGTGCTACCTAGGCAGGACTTGTAGAACAGTCGTGAGCAATGTGAACGTTTTAGTGTGAACTGAGCGTCTCGCTGAGCCGTGAGTGCAGCGATGTGATCTGAACAGTCGTGTGCTTAGGACTGATCTGGCTTCCGTGCCCCGTCTCTGGCGGGATGGATGTGTGCGATCAGAGTACGGCATCTGCGTTCTCCTGTTTGTTGTGAAGTAAGAAGAAAAACTTGGATCAGACCAAATTTAGCAGTTAAATAAAATGTGTTTTGATAAGCTCAGAGAAAATACATGTTACTTTATGATAACCAGAGTTGTGGCAGCCACTCAAGGATGATGCCAACATGTGAAAATTATTCTCAAAACAGCAGAGAAATGGCACGGTTTTGTATGTGGAAATTTTCTCAAGAACAACTTTAAAAATAACATGTCCTTTTTTTTTTTTTAATCTAAATTCTTCTGATATTTTACATACTAGAACTTAAGGGGAAAGGAAAGAAAACAATTGTCTTCTAAACAGCTAAGGGAACTATGTTGTAAATTTAACTGTAGTATTTGAGTTATTCATAAGTGCACAGAGCTAAATCAGAGGCATTTTTCTTTAGCCTTTGTGGGATTAAAGATGGTTTGAATATAGCAGGAGCTAAATCCTGCTGGCAAGCGTGTATCTAACTGGTCAAACAAAGTCAGCGTCTGAGAAACAAAATCTCGATGACCACAGCTTTTTCGGGCCAGCTTTGAGGATATTTTTGAGTACTGTAATGCTGTTAGGGAGCAGTATGGCCCTCGAATTGGTCGGTTTTCCTAAGAATATCCTTGTCTTTTTACTGATGCCATATTGGAAACTGAAAGTGAACCAAGTATTCCTGTAAGAATGGATCCCGGTCTGTGTCGGCTTAGCTCACCTTGTCCCCGCACAGGGACGTCCCCCTGCCACAGCTCTGGTCTGCGAGCGGGTTCTGCCCCCTGACCGCCCGCGGTTCGCTTCCTTTGCCGAGCGTTGTTGGTGTGTTGGACTGCTGTGAGCCTGGGGAATCCCGGGGCTCCTGTGTTACCGCTGCTGTGCGCTCTTAGTCATAGCGGGAGTGAAGAAATACTAGGGAAAATCTGATTTTTTTAGACTTGCGGTAATTCTCTTGGCCAAAGGGAAGACTCTGTATTTTTGTTAAATGGTTTCAGGTCTACTGTTGTTAGAGATGGAGATCATCCTCTTTTTAGTGCTCCACCCCGTCCCTCCCACAAGCACACACACCCCCTCCTCTCTGCTCTGCTGTGAGCCCCAGACTCTCGCCTGCCGCGCTTGGCCCTGGAGAGCAACAGTCTGTGTCTCTGTCTGTGTTTGCACTTGTGAGGAGTGCTGTGGACCATCCTGCTCGCTGCCCATCCACGTCTACTCCAGTCCAGTGCTGTGAGGCAGCCAGGAGGACACAGGGAAGAAGGAGAGCAGCAGGATGGAGCAGCCTTGGCATGGCTTGGACTTGTCAGCACCCATTGCTGATAGATGTGAGTTCCTCTTACGAAAGTGTGTGTGTCCCTGTTCCTGGGGAGGACGGGCCAGAACCCCTCCTATCGCTGCCCAGTTTGCTCTGAGAGCCCTGGTACACAGCACGTCCAAGTCCTGCCTTGGTCTCATTTCAACCTATTTCATCTTTACTCCAAACCTCTCGAGATAAAGGTAGACTTCCTCCTTAGTTCATCTGAAATTTTAAGAACAAAGGTTGTCAAAACCCTGATGCCTTCCCGATGACATTTCTTGTTGTCTGTAGTAGTAAGGCAGTGTCTGGAGGCAGGGCGTACAGCGGTCCTTGCGCAGACACGGCGGAGGTGATCTGTTCTGCAGAGCTCTTGCAGGCTGCTAGAGACACAGCCAGCCGTGGGGGAGCGGGGCGGAAGGGTGGAGTGAGTCATTTGTAAATGGTTTAATAAGCTCACAGCACATCAGCTGGCTAATTGTTCTCAAGTGTTTTGTAGGTATTATGGCAAAGGTGGGCTTTGGGGAGCAATTTAAGGGCTTTAGTCACTAATATCAAAGCGTGTGCGTGTTGTATTTTTGGAACAGCCTCTCAGGTAAACTCCCAATAGCTTTCCTCTGAGTCTTGACCTTACCTAACATTTCCAAGTATTTGAAGTGATGCAATCTATCATTAAAATAGCATTTGATTGAATTTAACAGAAGAAAAGAATCTGCTAGGGCCTAAAACCCTAAAAATGGCCGTGTCAGGTTTGAGGGGAAGCTGGAGAGCAGAGATTTTTGCTTTTTTTTCATGGCATGAATAGAGGGTTTAAATAGGAGCATTGTATGCTAGTTTTTTTGAATATGGAAAATTTAAAAAAGAGGTAAGGGGTCTAAAGGGTGGCCCAGAGATTTAACTTGAGATGAAGCAGTTGCTACTTCAGCTATAAGCCTAGAATTGTACTTAAAGCGTGGTGGTGGTTGCAGATGCATGCTTGCAGCTGTTGTTGCTTTGCAGCTAAGGTTCAGTTATAACTTTCCTAACAGCCAGGCTTTTGTTTGATTGCCTTACTCGAAGTCTTCATCAGCTCGGATGATTTCTGTGAGAGGTGAAAATCAGAATCTACAAGAAATCTCCAAGAGATGAGGATGAAGAGGACTTGCAGCCAATCAGTGCATTCAGGTTTCATCCAGTGTTTTTCCAGACACTTGTAAATGTTGCCCCAGTAGCTTAGTTTTAGTGCCAAATATTTTTATTTTTGTCTGTGTTAATTTATTGATTTTTTTTAAAATAATTACTTTTTTTTTTCCTTTTAAGTTAATTTAATGTTGATGTAGGTTTGTATATGATGAGATATTTTAAATATTCATAACATTTGCGCCTGTTGTCTTCAGTGAAATTGCATGGGGGTGAATCTTGCTCACTGTGCCAACTGTGGAAGAAATAATTTTGAAATATATTACCCTGTTTGCTCAGCAGTCCGTTCAGCATCCTGTGTCATATCGTTAACGTGAGGCACAGTAATCCTTTTCATCACAATCTGTGCTATGGATTGTAAGGCAGCAAACTTTCCAGTTGGGTCACTTCCGTCATTGCACATAGGAAGCTAATCCTTTCCCGGCTGGGTTTGTATCTGAGCGCGCCTGGTGCTTTAGAAACTGGCATCAAGAGCATTGCACAGATAAATGCCACACCAAGGAGAATACAGAAATCAAATTACATCTTCATAAAAATTGTGTGTTATGATATGATTAAATGAACTAATTTTGAAGTTCCATCTCAGGCTATAAATTTATTTTTTTTTATTAGGGTTATCTGCCTCGCTTTTAAATTAAGCTGCTAGGAGGTTCAATTTGCAGGATGCGATTCAGTGGCATGTTTTTTAGTACCATGGGAAGGATTTCTACACATACAACTTCTCAGAAGGTGATAATTTGCTTCATCTAGAACTCTTGATTATTTTTTTTAAGTTTACTAGAAGTTTAGGTTGTGATTATATTGTCATTTTCCAAGTAGACTGGGAGAAAATCTGTGAAATTTTTTTTTTTGTAATCTCCAAGCAAGTGACAGTATTTTTAAACTCAACAGATATCTTTTATGTGAAACTGAAGTTTGCTGTTCTCTTCTGTTAGGTTTTTAAAATTAAATGTTACTGGTTTTTACAGTCTTTATTTGCTGTTAGGGGTTTTGTACCTGTTTTTAAGCTTCTTGTCACTCCGATCTTTGTTTCTCCTAGTTGGAATTCTGACATGGCTCCGTGTCAGAGCGCCAAGGGGCAGTCTTGAATATTTGTCACAAATCTCTGGCGAGAAGAAAGTGGTACAAGGTACCAAGGCACAGAGAACCTCAAGAGTAGCACGAGGTTGCACGAAGAGTCTTTCTTACAGCAGAGACTCGAATGAGAATTTCCAGATGTCAGTCTGGCGCTGCACCTCTGTGGCACCGTTCCTGCCCCGCTTGTACAAAGGTTTTACCTGTCAGGAGCTTGTCTGTTCTGAAACGGGCACTTCCAAGGCCTGTGTGTGATGTGAGATGGAAAAGTTCAGTGTGAAACATTTTTGGTTCTGGGTACTTGAAGCACCTGCCAGAACATTTGCCTGACCTGGCGTTTATTTTGTTGTTCAGTTTAGAAACCTCTTTCTTCCCTTCTATGACTTTGCAGAAGACGACACATCCTTTGCATGGTGTCATTCAAGATAAACTTGGGTTTTACCTCACTCCACCACGAAGCCCGTGCTTGTAACTGATGTTCTGCTGAGATCCAAGAGGAGGACAGGCTTCCATGGTTTTCATACTTGAATGGGGGAAGAGTAGCTGCCTTCCCTTACGCCACGTGAAGGAGTGGACACTTTGCAGACCCCGAGGCTGCTCTGTTGAGGCTTTCAGGAGGGGTGAGGCTGGGGCATACCAGCGGTGGAGAAATGCCCAAGCCACGTCCGTCGGGTCTCCTGGTGGAGCCGTGCTTCCTCCTGCTCTCTCCGCCTGCCTCTCTGTTTCAGTCCGTTCCCAGCTCTTCTCTTTCCCCTCCTGTTGAAATTCAGAGCTCTAGAGAGCATGGTTAACATAGGACTTGTTTAATATTTCGTATTCTTTATACTATTAATGCTGTTGTTTGTATGTGGCTGTGGTCTCAGGTCAATATATCAGATCTATCAGTCACCGTGGGACCCCATACTTGTGTGGGCTTGAAATAGGTTTGGCTGAGGTCAGGTTGGACCTTGGGATAATCTGCCAACTGTCTCCAGCAAAGTGAACAGCCCCTCCGTGTTAGGATGTTGGGAGAATTTCCCAGCATGAAAACAACCCATGTTGCACTAGAAGACGAATGTTCTCCTGCCTTCTAGAGACGTCTTAAAGCTTCTCGGTTGTTCCTTCCCCTACTGCCTGGGCGTTGCAGAGGTGCCACTTGGAAAGACATTTTCTGCAGATAAGCAAAGGCAGACAATTTAGTACTAAAATCATATATGTAAAGTGTTTTTGGAAGAGGAGAGCTCTTCAGAATTAAAATGTAGCATGTGTATTTTAGATGCAGTTTTATTTAGAGAAAGAAACTGGAAGTTGTGGCCAGTGGAAACAAAGGAAACGGCCTGGCCAGCTGTGCCTGCACTGGTGGTGGGTTGTAAAGCCCAGTTCTGGAGTATTTCCTTTGGGTCATGTTC